GGGGGTGCTGTCCAAGAGATGCTCACCCACTGTAGCATGGCCTCTGTCCCCATGACTTAGACTTAATTACATGTGCACTTCCATCTTGGTGCTGCACCAGCATGCTCTCCCTTTCCTGGGATGCAGGAGGTTGCCGGGGAGGTGTGGGTGTTTCTGGTAGCGGGGAGGGACAGATGGGGAAAGCTGTTGCATGGGTGTATTTTGAGAAATCTAGGGTGAGGGAAACAGATTCACACAGCGTCCAGTCTTGTCCAGCAGGTCCGACAGCTGCTAAATGCAGCCAAGGAAGATCTATGGCTTATTTCTCAACTAGCCAAATTCCTGTGAGACCCTTTCTCTTCGGAGCCATTTCCTAAAGGGCTCCGTAAAAAAAGGAGATAGTCCTTTGGGGTCTGAATCTGGCTGCGGTTCCACGACTTAAGTCTGAAATATACAGAGCCATGTGGGCTAGGTTGAGTCTTTGCAGCCCGAAGCACTGTTTCTCTGAGCTATTTCCTGCCTCTGGTGTAGGACAGGTCATTTTCTTTACCTCAGTCGGGGTTCATTCTACAAGGACACGGACTGAAACTATCCTGCTGTTCTCAGAGTCCGGTGGGCAGCTTTGTCCAGGGTTTAGTGATTCTGCTTGGGTTCAGGAAGATGTCTCAAGGCCAACGGCCCAGAGCCTAGTAAATGTCTATCTGCTGGCAAGACTGAGGCCTGAAAAGGCAGGGGCTCTGAGTTTTTTGGGAAGGTTTTGTGGGCTTCCAGCCCATGGTGTACTTTGCTGAGGAAAGTCGATTTACCCTTCTTATCAGCGGTAGGAAACTATTTCCTTGTAGGAATTAGATTCCCCACAGGTCAAATGTTCTGTGCTCTTTCAAGCCCCAGGAAATCTGGCCTGAACCAGTCATATTCTAGAAGCCCACACACTTCCTTCTGTTTCTTATAGCTCTGTCTCGGGTGCTAGTTTTATGTATCCATTGAGGTAAGAGGGGACAAGGGACCACGTGTGCAGCTCTGAGCTCTGAACACGATGTTTGTTTCTGAGGCTGATGGTCAGTGGAGCGGGTCCCCCGGGGGCAGGGAACATTTTGCTAGGCTTGGATTAACTTGGGTTGTTTTGCCCCACCCCTCACCATATTAATTTAAAATGATATCCTGGAGTGTGTGTGGGGGTGTGTGTGTGTGGGTGGCTGAAGGAAAGACAGGATGGATGGAGGGTTCTGGACATCAATTGAGAAATGGAACTGGACAGTAATGACAAGGGCAGCTGCCAGGTCACTGCCCCATAGCGCGTCTTAATGTGACAAAGACATTAGCATCGCAGTGATTCTAATAACCATGGCCAAATCCTCTCTCTTCCTCCTTGGTAACTAGGGTTTGTTCTGGGGATTCTTAACTTTATCTTTCTTCTGAGTGCCTTTAGCACAGACTGGAGCCCTCAGGAAGTTTGGCCTCCTGGGAGTGGTTGAGCCTGGCTGGGGTGGGCCAGGTAAGGATGGGCCCCAGGGTCTCAGGTTGCCAATCGGGACAAATAAGACAGAAGAGGTGCAGTCCAGTGTGGCTGAGTCAACAAAGTGAGAAGGCAGGGGACAGGAGATGAAGGTCTGCTTTTTGTCCTGGAGCTCTTGGGCAGTTTCTGCCATCCTCCACTTGTTCAAGTCCAGAGTCCCACCCGAGAGGAAGATCACGTGACCCTGACTTATATAATCTCCCTGTCACCGAACAGCTGGAACCCAAGGCTTCAGAGAATGAGTCAGCAACCCCAGGGGCAGACAGGACCCAGAGACTCAGATTCCATCACTTCTAGAAACAGTTCCCTCCCCCAGCAGAGAGGAAGGGCGAATAAGATTGTGTGTGTGGCACTGAACAGCTTAGGCCAGACCTGGGACCTCAGTCCCTGCCTCTTGTGTGGAAGAGGCAGGTTCCTAGCCTGCTGACTATGCTTGGAAGGGCCCTGGGCCCAACCCGTGGCTCTTCTTGGGGAGAGGAGGTGAGGCCTGGGAGGGGCAAGTGTAAGGCCTGAGGCCAGCAGGCAGCATGCCAGGGCTGACCAGGGAGCAGGCTGGGGGGTGTGGGGGGGTGGATCATAGGAAGATTAGGAGGGATTGCAGGGTTAAAGCACAGGCCTGGCAGTGCTCAGTGGGAACAGCTTGTCCTTCCATAGGCCCCAGGAACAGGAGAGGCGGGGCTAGGGGGAGCTGACTGGGTTGGTGCTCTCTCTCTCTCTCTCTGGCTCCAGGCTCTCTGCAGGCCTGAGCCACCTGGGCTAGCTTGCAATCCTCAGTGGGAGAGAACAACTTCTCGGTGGCCCCTCATCATCCTGCATTGTCAGTGAAAGCAGGGCCTCAGGGGGAGACCCTCAGAGCCCCAGGGCTGAGATGCACCTTCACCCACTAGCATGTCAGTGGTGCCTCCATTACTCGTGCTTAGTGGAACCTGGGAAGCTCCAAGCTCAGGTCGGCCGTTACTGTTTTATTGGCAGGAGATGCCCTCCACCTTCATTGCTTGGTTTGAGCCTCGTGGCAACCCTGTGAGGAGGGCAGGGCAGGTGCCACTGTTCACTTTTATGGGGGAGGAAATCCATCTGAGCTGAGAGGTATCCAAAGTTAAAGGGTCAAACGGTGCCTCTCAGAGGTCACAGGCTGTCTCGGCCTCAGATGGCCTCTCCCTTCCCTACCCGTTGAAGACACAAACATCCAGGCCTGCCTCCTGTTGTAATCTTGTGAGCATGGGTTTCCTGAAGTGAGCTGAAGGCTTACACTTCTCTTGTTTCCTAAAGCTAGGAGCAAAGATGCCTGACCTTTACGGGGCACCTACTGTGTGTCAGGCTCTTTCCCAGTAATTTATGAAGTAGAAATTATGAGCGCTTTCATTTTACAGAAGAGCAAACAGACTTAGGAGTTAAGGAAACCGCTAGAGAAAGCCTGGTGTGTGGCGCCGAGTTCTCAGTGCACAGCGGTGGCGTGTGGTGTAGAGTACTAGAAAACAGCACTGTGAGAAGAAGCCATGCTGCTTTTTGAAAGAAGCCATCCTGGGAGAGCAGAGCTTACTGAGAACTTGTGATGGGCAGATTTCAAGGCTCCCCAAAAAGTTGCTCTCACTTCCTTAGGATACAATCAACCCTGGGAAGCGAGGATAAGGGGGCTGAGGTTAAGTGACCGTCTTCAGGCAGTGAGACCGTAGAGGTCTGTCCTGGTTGGTGGTATTGTACCGAGCAGAGCTCAGGATGAAATACTAGCTTGGCTTTAGGGTACTCTTGACCATCTAATGGCATTGTGCCTTGTGTGCCTTGCTTCTAGACGGGAGGGATGCAGGTTCCAGTGACTGAGTTTGCTCAGGGTATTTGTTACCTTTCTGAAAACAACTCTCTCACGGCCCTGGGCTGGGGTAGGGCCAGGTGTCCCCAGGAGAAATGAAAGGAAAGGGGGCAGAAGACTCCAGGAAGAGTCGTTAAGTAGCCAGCTGCAAGGAAGATGACAGATAAGAGCAGCTGTTGGGAGTCTGGAGTGTATGTAGCCTTTGGCCCAGAAGGCTTAGAAAACCTGAAAAGCCTGTAACAGGGTAGATTTTAAGGCACCGTCCTGAGAGCATTTGCTTCAGAGGGCCTTGGCGAACTGCTAAGCCCATAGGTGATTCTACTGCCAAAGGCCTGGGGAATCCCACAGAGAAGCCTGCATATACAAAAAGAGTTCCTTTCTTCTGAGCAAAGGAAGAGCCAGCAGAGGCTCCCTCCACCGAGAGGAGAGGAGCCTTTTCATTGCCTGTCACCTCTGTGAACAATGCTGGACATGTCCCGAATGGACCCTACAGCGTCCTGTGCCTGTAGCCAACCCTGACGGCTAAAGTCTGAATGTCCCGTGAGATGTAGTTTTTATCTCTTCCATGGTACTTCCCAGGTGGCCTAGCAAGGCCAAAACACTTTAAGTGATCCATTGTCACTGTCCCAAGTTGTCCCAAGGCACTTTGTCATGACACACTTTAGCCTATGACCCAGCTACGGTCCCTAGTCCTGAACAAGCTCTCTGAAGTACTATTTCTTGCTGTGACATAGTTCTCCTTTACAAAGGACATAAGCTCTATAAGGGGGGAGGGGGTATAAGGAAACGGAGAACACAGCATCCAATCCTCTTATCCACCCGCTTGCCTACCTAGGTATTCTTCTGCCCATCAGTCCACCACCCCACCCCCACCCCCACCCCAGTCTATTCATCCATCCATCCATCCATGCAATCAGCAGGTCAGCTGAGCTCCGAGTTGCCAGAGGCACACTCGAGGGAGGTAGAGATACGATCACTTTAAATCTCTGAGAGCTCGCCACCTATTGGACACACCGATAACTACAGGAGAGGAGGAAAGAAGTCACAGCCCCAGGGGAGGCGTGTTCAGGGATTAGATCTGAGGGAGACCATGCCAGCCCTTGGTTAATCTCCAACAGAGCCTCTCCCGTCATTCCAGCCCAGGCAAGCTGGAGCACTGTGGAATTAGATCATCCCTATCTCTAGACAAACGATTCTACACTATTTTCTCCAAAGAGACAACCCTACTATCCAGATACCCTGAATCTAACTAAGCCTGCCGGCATCAGAGGAAGAGTCCTGCTACTCCTAATTCCTCATGCCTGGTCAGGAAGAGAACCATCCAGAGCAGGGATGGGGTGGGAGGATGGCTCTCTTCATACAAGTAACATGCTGATCACTTCTACTGTGCCATCCAGCCCTGGATGGACCAGAGCCCACAGGGGAGGACCCCAACATTTTGGATGGGAGAACCCAGAGTGAGAAGAACAAAGCAGACAGGGGTGTCTGAACATTCTAGAGCATCTTTGGGCCATTCCCAAATGTGTAGGTCTTTGGAGCATGGGACAGCCCTTCCCAGTGGGTCTGAACCACCAATCGTGGAAGATGGCGTGTCCACCATCAGCCGTCAGTCAGGTTGGGAGTTCTGTTCCTAGCCTGGCTTTTTGTAACACTGGCTGTCTCCCCAGTCCCTCACTGGAGCCCCAGGAGTTAACTCACCATGGTGTCTCGCCCTGGAGAACTGGAGCGGCTGGGCCCAGAGGCCTGGCCCTTGCTCTTGTCCCACAAGGTGTAGCGGCCACTTGGTCGGTAGGTGGGACTGAGGACTTCAGGGACTCGGGAGGGAGGGGCTTGCGTGAGCACCTGTGGTGCACTGCTCTTGCGACCATAGTTGTCCAGATAGTCTGTTAGGTACTCAGAACGGCTGGCTGCTTGGTAGAGGCCCTGCAGGGCACAGAGCTCCTTACGTGTGCGGGCCAGCATGGGGCTGCGACCCAGGTTTCCGGGGTCTATCCTAAAGCTGTCTGAGGTCCGGTAGCCATCTGAAGTCCGGTAGCTATCTGAGGTCCGCAGGCTGGAGAAATCTCGGGCCAGGTCTGATTGGCTGTTCGATTTCTTCTGGCTCAGGGTCACGCCCTGGTCTCTGGCATTCATGGGCAGGTAGCCGAGGGAGTTGCTGGTCACTCCGTAAGAGAATCCACTGCCTCCGTTGAGTCCACTGCCCGAGGGCCTTTCATTGCCACGAGTCTGGCTCTCAGACCGCTTACTACCCCCAATGATGTCAGGTCTCAGCAGGGGGCGGCCCCTGTCACAGTCCAGGATGGAGGAGGGGCCATAGGTGCGGGGCCGCGGGAGGAAGCTGGTGGGGGAAACCGGCTTGAAACCAAGTTTTTCCTTCTCCAGGAAGGAGGCGGCCAGGTTGGCCCCATAGGAAGAAGGGGTGTAGGTGCCATAGCCCGATTTGGCATAAGGGGCATCTGTGTAGCGGGACGATTCTGTATAGCGCTTCAGGGTGGAGGAGAGCTGGGACATCCTTCAGGGTGGTACTCAGTGGGTACTGGGAGCCTCATGGGCTGAAAGACAAGGAAAGCAGTTGTCAAGGGCCTTGCAAAGCACCAGGCCCACTCTGTGCTTGTTCTTTATGTCAGGAGGGCCAGGACCTTAAGGCTCAACACTTGGGGCCTGTCTGTAATAGGCTGGCTAGCTTCTGAGAAACACACATGCAAACAGGTATGTACCATGTACCCACAAGAAAAACTAGCAAAAGACCCAGGCTCTCCAGTTCTCCAGCCTTCTATGCCAGAGACTCCAGCTGAATCTCATGTGGCTCTTCTTGTAAGTCTTGGCAGGAACTTTAGAGCTGGAAAGGGCTGGGGGAAGGGTGGGGGTGGGGTCCTACCACCCTCCGTGCATAGACTGGGGGACAATGAGTATTTTGAGTTCTAACTGCTTCCTTACCTTTGGCAAGCAGTACTACCTTCAGGTATAAAAGCCTCCCCCCTGGAAATGTCTGGAAGACCGTGAGGAAAAGGGGGGCCTCAGGAAAGGAAGTGATGGTGGGAGGTGGGAGGGAACGTCTAGCAGAGGGGCTGGGCCCTGATTTCCAGACCTCCCTGAGTACTCTTCCTCGGTCACACAGGGGACCACACTGGGGATGCTGGTAAGGTAAAACCTATTTATTCTCTTCTTGGATTTTGGCTTTGTCTTCTAAGTGGATCTTAGGAACCTATGGCCTCCTAGGAGGTTTCAGAAACAGTGCAGGTGCCAAACTGATCCCGGAGTTACTTGACTTGTGCAAGAGGCGTCCCCTAGAGTCAACATCCTGTACTGCAGACATTCCCAGACTTCAGGGTTTTGTAGATTGATCACTGAATGTAGAGGTTGGACAGCCCTAAAGGCCATGTATTTTTTAACCCATTGTACAGACACAAGCAGTGATGCTTGCTTGCCCAAATTCACATGCTAGGGAGAGTCAGGATTGGAACCCATGTCGTGGCCCAGCACCTTTTCCCACCAGCCTTGTTTTTACCATTCCTCATCAGAGTTAGGCAGTTCTGGAGCCTCCTAGAACCCCTCCACCATGTGGCAAGAGGGGAGAAGGTGCTCTGGAGAAAGGGACATGGAGGACCCCTTCTTCAGGGACCTTTAAGTGTGTGGGGGGGCGGGGCTCAGGGTGGTATAGGGGGAGGGAGAACTATCCAGTAGTCTCAAAAGTAGCATAAGATTTTTAAATCTCTCTCCTCCCTCTCCCTCCCCCCACCCTGCATGCATGCGCGCACATACACACGCACGCACGCACGCACGCCACATATATGAAACTCAGAGGACAACTGGTAGGAGTCAGCTCTCTGTCTTGCCACCATGCATGCATGGGGGTTGGCCGGTTGGTCATCAGGATTGGTGGCAAGTGTTTTTACTTGCCGATTCATCTCACTAGCCCCAGGGCTGGTTTTGACTTCCTCCATGACAGACTAGTTGAGCAGTTCCACTAGTTGTTGAACCTCTTTGAGCCCCGATTTCCTCCCATGTAAACGAGGGTAACAATCAGGATTCCTATCTCGTGGGGTTGTTATGAGGACTGAGGGATAATAACACGGGAAAGCGCTTAACAATGACCAGCTATTATCTTCTCTCCTAGTTAGCCCAGCCAGGCAGCCCAGTTCCTCCCTTTGTAACCTGTAATAATAGCAGGGCTGGCCATCCCCTGGCCTGGCCGGCTCGACCTCAGCCCAGGCGCCAGGCTTCCCCCTGCCACCCCCAGAGAGTTAAGTGGGTAGTGGGTAGACATCTAGCCATTTAGCAGACACTGGTTCAAGCAGCTCACAGCTTGCCTAGGCTGGCAGCCCAGCTCACTAGGGCAGGCAGGAGTTTGTGCCAAGCCCCAAATGCTGGGAGCTTAGCAGAAGGTCGTAGGAACTCAAGCCGCTGATAAAGGCAGAAGTGGAAGGGGAGGAGGCAGCCATGGAACGGAATTCCTTAACTGTGCCAGAGACCTCTGGTAGTTTTTAGTCCTGGCTGGTACCAGAAAGGCTGTCCATCTGACTGTCTTCCTTGCCTGGCTCAGGGGACCCCAACACCCTGTGTGGACACTTCTTTGTCCACTATGTTCCCTCCTCCCATAGAACTTCGGTCTGCTCTGGGAGATGATAACTAGGTGAGGGTCTGAAGTAAAGATAGGGGGAAATCACTGGGTGGTGGTGGTGGTGGTGGTGGTGGTGGTGGTGGAGGGGGCACAGAGGCCTAGGGGTGGGGGCAGGGGACCTGTCCTGTTCTGTTTCACTTTGGAGAATGTCATCAATAATGCAAAGTCAAAGAGACTCCAGGCCTTGGGAGTTGGGCTCTGGGACACTCGGCAGCCAATCAGATTGTCCCCATCCTCCGCGTATGAGCTCATGGCTCCTCCCCACAGCCCTCCCTCCCTTCTCCCAGACGGAGGCTCCTAGGGAATTGGTATTCTGTGGGCACTGCCTCAAGCCTGTGACCTCTCTTAGCCCCAAGGATGACGCACAAGTGCCCAGGCCAGACAAGATACAGCCACAGGGACAGACAGCACTGGCATTTAAAGGCCTGAACCTGGAGCCCCATCTTCTAGCTCATAGATCCCTGGGGAGAGTTCCCCAGTCCCTGCTCTCTGGTCTCCTCCAACCTGGCAGGCATCCACCAAGTCTCTCCTGTCCCAATAGTTTCACCAGTTGCTCTATCACAGCCCCTGGAAACTGGCAGCTCTGATGCCTACCTCACAGTTCCCAGGGTAGGAGAGGGTTTCTTTTTGGAGCTGAAACCTTGCACACATCTCTCCCCCTTTACTAAGCCCTACTTTTTGTTGGTGAAAAGTTCCAGCACCTTGTAGGCAAGGAGGCAGTTTACGTTAGTATCTCTTGGCATTACCTGGTCCTGCTGTCCCTGGAGGCTACTCAATGCACCATGGGCGGGAGCTTCGGTTAGGGAATCTGCCTGTGGCCTTGCTGCGCAAGACAGGGACAGGAAGGGCAGCACTCACATGGCTTTGAGTCTCTCTGTTGCCACAGGAACGGCTGGGACTGAATGGTTCTTTCATGGGGCAGTGGGAGGCCAGCCTATTGGCTGGGATCCCCCACACTCCTCCCTGTCCAGTGTGGGGCCCCTGCTGCCTGGTTCCTCTCATTGTTTTTCCCGACCTGGCAAGTTTAGGCATGTGGCTGCTGGCTGCACCTCCCCGGGTGCCTGCCACCTTGGACAACGGGCGGCAGTTCCTACTTATGCCATTTTCACAGAGATGTGGATGTCTCCCTTCTCACTGAGAGCCTCCATCCTTTTGCAAAGTTTCCCTCAGAAACTGGCATGGTGGCACAGATGCACTTGGCTTCCTGTGGGGACACTGGAGCCATGCAGCTGTGGCTCCCAGCCAACTGGTCTCACACACCTACAGACAAGGCATAGAACTCAACGAGGACCTTGAATGCAGCTTTTGACTTTGTCTGCTGGACAGCCTCATCCTGCATGCCTTTCTGGCCTTCCTGGCTGCTGTGTCCTCAAATGTAGAGCCCTGAAAATCTCAGGGCAGATGCAAGTGTGAACTTTTTTAGACACATATATTCTCAGTCTTACAAACATAACTGTGAAGGTTATATTGTTTGCATTAAATGAAAATGAAAAGGTATCCGTATTTCTAAATGTACAAGAAATTTAAATAGTTTTTTTTTTGTTGTTTTTGTTTGTTTTTGGTTTTTTTTTTTTTTGGACAAGTCTTACTTTATAGCTCAGGCTGACCTCAAAGTTTCTGTCTTGTCTCATGTCCCAAGTAGCCTAATAGTAAAACTTCCAAGTAAAGTTTTATTGTTTATATTTCAGATCTTAACAGGTCTTTTTTTTTTTTTTTTGGTTTGGTTTTTCGAGACAGGATTTCTCTGTGTAGCCCTGGCTGTCCTGGAACTCACTCTGTAGACCAGGCTAGCCTCGAACTCTCAAACTCAGAAATCCGCCTGCCTCTGCCTCCCAAGTGCTGGGATTAAAGGTGTGTGCCACCACCACCCGGCTCTTAACAGGTCTTAACATTTAAAACTGCACCGACTTGGGCTATAGGCACTAACTCAGTCCTCCCGGTGGCAGCTTTAAGCAGTCATGCTATCAGTATGTCTACCTGCAGCTAAGAAACAGTTCTTTCTGCGAGTAAATGTGGATCCTCTCCCATGCTCAGGCTGCTGTAGTGCCGGTGCTGGATGGGACTGAACTCTGTCCACTGCGGCTACTCTGAAGCCATCCCCTGTCCCCAAAGCAGGACCACGGGCCCGTGGAGTGAAGGGAGGACCCCTTCAGGATGCAAATGTCCATTTATCCAGCTAGGAGAAAAGACTGCTTGCAGGAGCAGCCCCTGGATTTTCCACTGTAAGTGAATGAAAGCGAAGCCCGGTGTAACCTGAGCTGCAGCACAGTGCCGATCAACTGGGAGATGGTGAGGAAGGCCTCCATTTCATCTGTTCTGCCAAGCTCTGTGTGTCCACTGGTACTGGCATCTACCCCAGCACGGGCTCCTGGGCCCCAACCAAGCGGTGGACATATCCCTGAGCTGCCTCCTCCCGGCTGCTGTTCAGCCCACTCCCCAAGGTACTCACACTAGGTGAGTCAGGGGAACCAATGCACCCTGTTCCCTTGAGGCTGCCAACCACCTAGCATCATCAAGTCACTGTCATCAGTCACTGTCATTTCCTGTAGCTCACGTGAAGGGCTCCCTAACCTGCCCAGCTAGAGGAGGGACGTAAGCCTCAAGAATCCCAGGCACTCCTGGCCCTGGAGGCAGAGGACCGGTGATACACCACATCTTAGCAGATTCCACGCTCCTTTCTGTCTGGGTGTGCTGCTCATCTTTCTGAGGCAAAGGCCCAGCCACCTCTGTGGCTTTGTCACTGCCCCCACACTTACCTCCTCTCCCCCACAAGACACTTCATGGACACACCCAAAACAGTGCTTAAGTCCCTTTCCTCCTACCCAGAAGTTCAGGGCAGGGCAGCGGGGAGTCCCAGTCGGTCTCACTCGGTGCTTGGGAATGTCCACAATGGTGACCTCAGAGCTTCCCAAAGCTGCTTGCTAACTGTATCAGAATGTGCTGACCCGAGGAGTAAGAGAGGTGAGAGGGGACACCCTGTCACACCTATGACCCTGCCTCCTGGCTGCTTGGATCCCTTGCTACACTCTCTGGTCACAAGTGTCCACCCTGGCAGATGTGGAGAAAATGGCAGGAGGTATTCATTTATGTGTTATACCATTGGCTCCTCTCAGGCCTCTTGAGTCCTGAACCTGACTCTCTGACCTGGTGCTAGCACCCCTCTCTACCAGAGGCTGGTTAACAGCAACCCACTCACTTATATCACAGAGTCCTCTTACCTTTGGGGGGGGGTGTCCTATAAAAAATTTGTTCAGGTTTCCATTTCTCTTGAGTTTAGGAGGTACCCAAAACTTGGGAGGGGACGGGAGATGAGGAGGAGGAAAGGTGAAAAGATCACAGATGAAAGAGATTACGACAAGCATCCTGGCTTGTGAAGAAGTGAGTGGTCCAGGAGGGCTCACTACAGGGTGTGTTTTCAATTTGGGGTTGGGAAAGATGGATATCTCTACAAGTCCAAGAAAAGGCAAAGAAACAGGCTTCCTAGAAGCAGAAGGTATCTCGCAATTTTCTTTTCCACCCCCTATGTCCAAGTACCCCTCCTAGTGCCCCCTGCTCTGGAGAGTCCTCACTCTCCACCTTTAAGGCTTCAGTTGTCTTCTGTCCCCATATCTTGAGGAGGGTTAGGTTACAACACTCACCAGGTTCAGTGGGTGGCTTCTCAAATGCTCCCCCAAACTCACTGAGGGCTTACTTAGCTGTCCTTGAAGCTCAGACACCAAAGGGAGAGCTACTGACCTGTGTCCGGGAGTCCGGGGGCACTGGATGGGACCTGGGGGCTTCTTTCCCCACAGGGAAAAGACTGTCGAATAGAGTCCAGGAGCTGGAGTCTGACTGGGGCCGGGTAATCCGGAGCTCAGGTTACGCTAGCTAGATATATATAGTATCTTATCTGACCTCACTCGGAGATGGCAACTCGCTTGCATTCCAAGCCCCAGGAGAATTAAAGGGGCAGTGACGAGCCCACCTTCTACTCGATGCCCAGTGACTGGGTGAAAGCTGAGAGTGAGCTAGAATCCTGGGAGGGGATATTTGGAAGTAACAAGAAGGATCGAGGGGAACAGAGCAGAGGGCTGGGGATGAATTTGAGTCTCAGACATGAAGAAGGTGGATTCTCTAGTGCTGTCAGTCACAGGTTGAACAAACAGGAAGAGGCAAAACTGCTAACCCAGCTGCTGGAATTTTAAGATAGGGAAGACCTAGCTATTCCCTATGGACATGGACAGAGAGGGGTGGTGGACCAGCACTTGGGTTTCAGTCCACTACTGTTTTTTACGGTGGACTTCTAGGTCTAGGCCTCAACTCTTACTCTTCCCCTTATTGGATCTAAGGTAGCTTGTGAGGATACGTAAGTCTCTGAATCTTAGCTATGTAGTTTGTAAACCATGAATAACAGACCTAGCATGGCGGCACATGCCTTTTATCCCCAGCACTTAGGAGGTAGAAGCAAGCAGATCTCTTGAGTTCAAGGACAGCCTGGTCTACAAAGCAGATAGCCAGGATACACAAAAAAAACTCTGTCTCAAAAAACACAAACCAACACAAATAAACAAACAAGAACCATGAACACTAACAGGCATGATTGTGTCTCACAACGAAGAGGATAAAATATTAGTTTTAAGCTTCCTCGAACATAACAAGAGTTCAATAAACGACAAACTTAGTGGCCATGTTCATGCTACTCACTACTAATGTCTGTTGTAGCAGACAACCCTTCCAAGAAGAAAAAGGCCTTGGGCCCTACCCCTCGTCAGGGGATTGCAATGCCAGACACTAGCCCTGCGGTTTTCTGAACCACAGCCCCCAAATGGAAATATCAGACAGATCTTGCCACTTTCCCAAGGCGACTGGCCAAACCTACTAGAGATCCTTTGCCTTTTGCTCAGAAAAAAAAAAAATCAAGTATGGCTTCCCCAGGTTGCCAGGAGAATGCTTGGCTCCAGAGGGGCAGTTCCAGTCTACCTGTTGGAGGGCTCAGGGTTCCAGGGTATCAAAGGCAGGCTGGGCAGGGTCATGGGAGGAGGGCCTTGGTGCACCTGTCTGCTCCCAAGATGATTCTTCTGTTTCTTGATGGCTCTCCCTGGAGACTGGAAGGCCCCCGGGCTGGAGCCTCCACCCTGTCTCAGCACAAGGTACTGACTCAGACTGGGTCCTGGTGATGCACTTTAGAGGACGCCCTCATTCCAATCCTCATTCCAGACCGGCACGCATATACAGCATCAAAGAGTAGGGGACACCCCCACCCCAGCCCATCCACCAGTTCTCCATGTCTCTTGTTTTGTGGTTTGATGTGTGTGTGTGCGTGTGCGTGTGTGTGTGTGTGTGTGCTTATATGGCTGTGTTTGGGGAGATAAGCAGCCCCTACTAGGATCTTGAACTCAACTTCATTCTCAAAAGCTCTGGGGTTAGGAGCTAGGAGTACTCTTCTCTCAGAAAAGCTAGAAGCAGTTGACCAGGACTCCCCTTGGCAAGTTGCATGTCAGAGAACATTGCATGGCTGCTTTTGTTTTGGGATTGGTGAGAATTTCAAAGTTACCTCTTTCTGATTTGCGATTGGTGGAAAAATTTTCCCTTCCGCTTAACTGCTCGCTTCCCCCTAAGCCCCTTCCCCCCAGCTTTGGAAAACTGATCAAGAGACAGCCCCAGAATGTTTAACAACTGGGAGGGTGGTAGCTGCACACACGCGTGGGGAGAGGGGGTGTCAGGGTCCAGGCGTCATTCTCAGGCCACACAACACACAGGGCGGGGAGACCTGTACCCGCGGTTACAATGTTTCCTCAGAACACATTGATCAGCACACAGATGGCTCTTCCTGGCACCCCGAGCTGTCAGCTGGCAGCCCCTCTCACACACTGGCACCCACAGCTGGAGTTTCCCCCCTCCGCACAGCGGGCCCTCGCCCTACATTTCTCAAGTCCAGACTGCCCAGGCTGTCTGGACACCCTACTTTCCGAGTCTCAAAGCTGGTACTGACCCTGGCTTTTCCTTTCCCCGACCTGCGACAGGTGGCACGTACCTGCCTCTTCTCGGAGGATGGACGAGTCGAACCGGGCACAAGCATGGAGCTGCGGATGAGTCCTGGCTGGTACTGGCGCGGCGCAGCGAGCAGTGGCTGACGCAGAGGGCTCCCTGGCCTCGCTCGGTGCCTGCCCGCCTCTCCCCCACCTCCGCCGGGGGCCCAGAAAGGACCTCCCCGGGAAATCGGCGCCACCCAGCGGGCAGCAGCCTCATTGCGCCCGGGCCGGCCAAGCCACACCCCGCGTTTGCGTCACTGATATACGTCACGACTATTGGCTTGTTCCTATTGTTGCGTCAGTAGAGCCCCGCCTGGCGTGGGTCTCCTAGGTAACCGGGTATATACAGAGAACCACGTGGAGAAAAAGCACGCCTGTTTGGAGCCGGTGGTGCAAGGAAAGAAGTGGACTGGAATCTGATAGGTCCCGGCGCTGGAAAGACTGAGACAGAGGAAAAGGCACATACCAGCTTTCAGATGTTAGGGAAGGTTTTCCTATCGGGCTGGGAATGTTCTATTCCATAGACTCTTTTTCTGACTACTTTTAAATTTTATTTATTTATATTTAAACATGCATTTATTTAAACGAACAACCAAGTATATCTAATAGCAATATTTATAGAGCCCCATCAGTCAATCAGGTAAAGAAAGTTATGTTCATTCAACATGATACTATCAACTTACATTACTATTCAAATGACCCATTCTACGGGCTACTTATTAAGTACGTTACTAGACGCGGTGGTAAGTACTTTGCAGGTATTAGTTTTCTCATGTAATCTTTTTAATGGTCCCGTAAAAGAACCACTATTATAGTCATCATTGCACAGTGTAGCTGAAGTCTAGGGAGACCGTGTTCAGGTGGTAAATGTCAAGTATCTCTTACATTTCTTCCAGTGCAGTTCATTTAGGTGACTGCTGGGCAACTCTTTATCCCAAGGAAGGACAGAATTTTATCTACGTTATCAGGCTTAGAATAAAAAAAAAAAAAGAGAGGCAATTGGTATTTTCATTTTAAGCCAAATGACTTTATTTTTAAAATTAATTATTGCATGTATTGGTGCTTTGCTTGCGTGTGTGTCTGTGTGAAGATGTTAGATCCTCCAGAGGTGGAGATACAGACTGTTGGAAGCTGCCATTTAGATGTTGGGAATTGAACCCTGATTCTTTAGGAAGAGCTGACAGTGCTCTTAACTGCTCAACCATCTCTCCAGAGCCTGCAAACTTGACTTCTAAGAGCTATTTATTGTTTAGTTAGCTAACACCCCTAACAGAAATCAGAGTCATTCTTATTTTTTTTAAAAAATAATTTATTTTTATTTTATGTGCATTGGTGTTTGGCCTGCATGTATGTTGTGTGAAGGTGTAAGACATTGGTGTTACAGACAGTTATGAGCCACCATGTGGTTGTTGGGAATTGAACCCAGGTCCTCTAGAAGAACAGTCAGTGGTCTTAACCATTGAGCCATCCATCTCTTTAGCCCCTCTTCTTTTCCCCCCTAGACAAGGTTTTTCTATGTAGTCCTGGAACTCACTCTGTAGACCAGGCTATCCTTGAACTCACAGAGATGCTCCTGCCTCTGCACCAACTTATGTGGTCTGAGCTCCAAATCCGCATGTGCACACAAACACATAAACAAAAATCAAAAAATCAAAATGAAACAAAAACAAAATGTCGACCCTGTTAGGTTTCCTCTTTTTTAAAAAAGACCAAGGCAAATCTTGATATATTTTCCCCCTCTTGCTTATTTTTTAAATTTTTATTTAAAAAAAATTTTAAAAAGGTTTATTTTTATGTATAGGAGTACTCTACCTGCATATACACCTACATGTCAAAAGAGGGTATCTGATCCCATTACAGATGGTTGTGAGCCACCATGTGGTTGCTGGGAACTGAACTCAGGACCTCTGGAAGTGCAGTCAGTGGTCTTAACCACTGAGCCATCTCTCCAGTCCTCCCCACCACTTGGTTCTTTTAAAAATTCTATTTCTAAATTTATTTATTATATCTGAGTACACTGTAGCTGTCTTCAGACACACCAGAAGAGGGCATCAGATTTCACTACAGATGGTTGTGAGCCACCATGTGGTTGCTGGGAATTGAACTCAGGACCTCTGAAAGAGCAGTCAGTGCTCTTAACCACTGAGCCATCTCTCTAGCCCCTCCCCCCTTGGTTCTTATACCCCACCCTTCTTTCTTACTGATGAGGAAAGTTGCCCAACAAAATAGGCTGGTGCCAAGATAAGATGAAGTCCCAAGACTTCAATTTTGCCTGAATCATTAATTCTTCTAGGCTCTTCGCTCCTTCCCTGCATTTTCTCCACCGATATCACAATGTGGCCTCACGCTCAAGTTTCTTCTCATATTTCTCAAAGAATTCAGGCACAACCAGAAGGCAACACTTACATTTTTACCAACCCTCACTCCACCTCTACATTGAACCTAGTAGGCATGGAGTATACCAGACTCTGTTCTAATAATATTCTACATATCGGAGACACAGCAGGCACTGTCTCTCTTTAAGGGGCTCACATACAGGGTGTGGGGTGGTGCCAGGTCAACAGAAGCCAGTTAAACAGCTGGGGGTAGTGAGGAGTGTGTAGGTTGTGGTCTGAGATAGCCCAGTGAGGAAGTAACACCGGTGATCTCCAGGTTGTAAGAAGTGACCTGGGTGCAAATCTAGAGAAAGAATGTTCCAGGCAGAAGGGACAGACAGACAGTAAGCGCAAAGGTCCTGAGGTAGAAACCCAGTGTTAATTTTGAGGAAAACTAGGTGGCTGTGGCTGGAGTAGTGTATTGATACAGCTTACCACGCTGTATCAATTAATTGTAACTGCCATGGTTTCCTGAACTGTCTACCTGACTTGTCCTACACGCTCTCTCTGTCTGGTGGCTAATTTTCTCAACTTGACACAAGCGAGAGTCATCTGAAAGGAAGGGACCTCAATTGGGAAAATGCCTCCCTAAACTCCAGCGTTAGGACATTTTCTTAACTAGTGATTGATGTTGGCAGGGCCCAGTGCATTGTGGGTGTGGCCACTCCTGCACTGGGTTCTAGGGTTCTATAAGAAAGCAGGCTGGGCAATCCATGATGAGAGCCAGTAAGTAGCATGGCTCTGTGGCCTCTGTATCAGCTTTTGTTGCCTCCAGCCTCCTGCCCTGCTTGAGTTCCTGTCTGACTTCCTTCTGTGGAAGTGTAAGCCAAATAACCCTCTTGCTTCCCAGGTTACTTTTGGGTCACAGCAATATTAATTTTAACTAGGACACCCAGAAAACCATAACAAAGATAAGGCTAAACTATTTGAGTCATGTATGGGGCTTTATAGTCAGACCCTGCCTCCAGCCAGGAATGCACCTCCTTATGGTTTACCCTTAGGTAAATTAAGGATATTCTAGCCTGTGTCCTAGCCTAGTAATACACTCTTCTTTTGGCTCAAATCGTGAAGATCCGTCTGATCTTGCTGCTACCCAGGACCACCTTCTGTTGGTCAATTCTCCATATGCTGAGACGGGAGACCTGGATCTGATTTCTGAATGTAGAATGCATCCAAAGAGAGCCGGAGCAGAAGGTTAGCTTGGCCAAGTCACCTGAGGAGAAATCACTGGGAGCACTCACTGGGAGCAATCACTGAGGAGCACTCACTGGGGTTACGGAAGCCAGAGACTTGATGAGGGCTAGCTGTAACCTGGGCGTGCTTTGACACCAGCATGGACAGGGGTTTGTGATAGGTTAGGTAGTAAGACGGAAAGGCAAGAGTTAAGGAGAGGGAAGCTGCGGGGGTGGGGTGGGGACTGAGCAGCTAGATTAGCCTTGTTGTAGGATAGTTGATTATGATCCAAAGGAAACGTAATTATTAGTAAAACATGAAAGCCTAGTTAGATACTGCGTTCGTCAGATGCAGTTAGGTGCGTCCTGAAGAGATGCAGTTTGGGTGTGCCTCTAAAAGCCAGGGTAGATAAGAATGCTCAAGAATGGAAAGTTCCTGCTGTGTTAAGGCAAATTGCTTGAGTCCTGTGGTCTTTGCTCTATGATCCCAGGCAAAGCCAGTGGAATGGCCTTGAGCTGTCCCACTGCTAGGGTAAACTGGTTCAGTCCCCACTGACTTGACCTGGGGCCCTCCACTATGAAATGATGTGGCTCAAGTGTAAGAGAGAAGCTGGAGATTTTTTTTTTTTAAATATCAATTGGCTCTCTTTGGGGCTTGATCTTTTGGCTTTGAAGGGCTTCCTGGAAGAAGTTCCTGGTAAGAGATAAGGATTCTCTCTCCGGCTCGTAGGATCCACAGAGAAGAACCTGGCAGGATACAGGTTAAACAAGATTCTAGGGAAGAGAGCCAAGGAGCCTTCTTGAGTTTGGAGGAGCTTAGGAGAAAGATAGACTAGCTTGGTGGAATGACACAGAAAGATTTCTAAAGAGCTAGCAGCTTAGTTGTAGGTGCCGGTTTATAAATAGATACTTTGTATATAGTTAAGAAAATAAATTTACTGCCGGGCGGTGCCTTTAATCCCAGCACTTGGGAGGCAGAGGCAGGCGGATTTCTGAGTTCAAGGCCAGCCTGGTCTACAGAGTGAGTTCCAGGACAGCCAGGGCTACACAGAGAAACCCTGTCTCGAAAAAACCAAAAAAAAAAAAAAAAAAAAAAGAAAAGAAAAAGAAAAAAAAAGAAAATAAACTTACCTTGCTGAGCTAGCAGATTTTTGTTTGTTTGTTTTTAAACCAGGGTTCCTGCCTCACGTCTTTATTGGGAACAAATATTAGTTAAATTCAAAAGGACAAATGTTACATAGCCTGGTTTAGTAGATCATACATTTAAGATACTTTTAAGAATCCTGATGAGTTATTGACAGAACAGATGTTGAAGTCTGGTGTGATCTGGGCTAGGGGTGATAAATTTGAGAGCCTTCAGGTTATTTAAGACCTTGATATGAAAAGAGATTTGCCGATGTAGACAGAGAAGTGTGTGAGGCCTGAATTCTAGCTTCAAAGATGGTTGGAACCATCTGAGAGACTGAAGAATGGCCAGTGTGTTGGGGGAGTCCCGGGAGACAGCAGTGAGTATGTTGAATGCTCGGGAAACTTACCTAGGAGGAGGGAGAGAGCAGATGTGTCAAATGCCAATAGGTTAAGTTGAGACGGGTTTCAGATTGGTTTAGAAGATTGGTGAATGTTGATTCATGTTGGAGAAGCATTGATCTTAGGTA